TGAATTTTGATTCTAATATCAGCGTATTGATCGTTCTTGATAAGAGTTTGGAATGTCTGAAATGCTGAATAATAATTATTCATGATTTTATTCATCCATTGATTAATTATGTATACAAATGCGTGAATTGTATCTTCAAAAATAAAAATATTTGCTCTAAATTCCAAGGTTTTGTGTCTTGAACCTTGAAGTAGTATATTAAGGTTATTTAAGTGTTCAAAAATATTTACCTAATAAGAAAGTTGTAATTCAAATTTCATATCACAAAATTTTTCATGCAACTCTGAATCCTTCTTGTTTAAAAATATTATAATTTCTTCTTTGACTTGAACTGAAGACCTGGACGACATTCTAGCATAGCTGGAGCTCCGTCCGTACAAAAGTCAACTAGTTTCTCCCACTTGAGATCATGATGTTCAAAATAATTGCTAATGATTTGCATTACATCAATCCCTTTCGACGTTGTCTCAAGTACACCTTACAGCAATAACTCTTCTTTTATGGTCTTATCCTCAATGCCTGTAAATCGCAAAAGACTAATAACTGGCATTATTGCGCAATATCAGTAGTTTCATCACATTGAAGAGCGAAGTAAGAGGAACTTTTTATTTTCCCTAATAGTTGCTCTTCGGCATCCTATGACATATTTCAAATTCGTGCCTTTACTCATTTTTGAACAGTGGCATATTTTGAATCTTTATCTTGGCATCTTCATCGAAAATGTTTGCAGCTATTAGCATCAAGCAAGGCTTACTTAATGCTTCACCGATACTGTGTGATTTTTTCGACTTAACAATCAATCGGGAGATTTAAAATGCATCATTTTAGTAGTTAGTACTTGTGACAATGCGACACTTGACCAACTTGGTCCAAGTTTCATATTCTTTAAGCTTTTAAATTGTCCTTCAAAAAATTCAGGTGGTTGGTCTTTGAGAGTAGGATGAGCCGTATGCAAATGCTGCTGTAGCTTTGCTGGTTTCAAAGCATCATTATACTAAGCACAACAGTGTATATCACACACTGAGGTATTATTTCTCGATTGATTTCAATTTCAGTTAATCCATATTTAATATAACTATAATGAGAATTCTTTTCCCATGACATATATTCCTGACCAACTTCTACTAGGTTTAAAAAAAAAATCACTTAACAACACCAACCAAACTATAAACTTTTAATTTCTTTAAAAATTTACTGCGTGGTAATCAAACGAATAACGGCCAATATTGAACCAATATCCATAACTTGTCTTAATCGGTGACATAAAGTATAAATATATAAGCAACGTTTGCAATTAACATAACTATGATCGTCGCAATATAAGTATCATTTATTACTCTGATACCTACAGCCTATACACTTGTCATGGTCTAGGTCATGCAGTTTAGACAAGAATCCAGAGGTAGATCCAAACAGCCATATATTAAGACTGCTGTACACACAGTGGCGGCACAAAAAGTAGGGAAAATCAAATGTCAGATTTGTGCACAACCCCACAGCATTTATCAGTGTGAAACGTTTATGAAGGCATCAGTTGGTAAACGACAATTCATTGCAAAAAAAGCACAAATATGTTGGAACTGTCTTCGTGTAGGACATACCCGCTCAGTGTGTCCTATGGATAAAGTTTGCAAAATCTGTGGTTACAAACATCATACATTATTACACAATGTAACAGCCAAATAACAGGTGTCTGAAGATAMTGGATCTACATCAAAAAACACTTTTAATACTGAAACAGTGAGTGCAACAATAATTACAGATACCAATAAAGCAATCGTTTCACATGGAATGCCGAGTTCCCCAGCATTGTCATCAGTACTTCTCTCCACCGCACTTGTGAGAGTACATGGGTCCAATGGTAGGACAGAACTGTGCAAAGCGTTGCTGGATTMAGCCTCGCATTCCCACTTCATATCAAACAGTTGTCACMKTGGACTTACCCATTAAGAAATGCAGCGTTAGTACATGGACTCACTTTAAAGATGTCTCTTTTGCAGATCCAAACTTCCACATACCCGGACGTATTGATCTATTATTAGGAGCCGAAGTGTTCATGGATAGCATACAAAATGGTAAGATAAGTGGACCTGCTAATACACCCACGTTGCAGAACTCAAAATTTGGCTGGATTATCTATGGCACCAGTGAAATGCAATCAAATCAACAAATTCAAGTACCGAGTACAGCCAGTTTTGTGGTCACAAGTTGTGCCATCGCATCATTGGACAGAACGTTGAGACAATTTTTGGAACTGGAGGAGGTGCCACGAGTATCGACAATGTAGGCTGAAGACAAAATGTGTGAAGACCACTATCAGAACACACGTACAAGCGACGATAATGGACAGTTGCCATCTAAAAAAACATGTACCTCACGGTAATAACTCCTACCTTAATGCACTTCGGCGTTTACACCAAGTCGAGTCTTTTCTGTCCAAACACCTAGATATCAGTGTTCAGTACAAGGAATTTATACGAGAATATATAGAGTCGAATCACATGGAAAGGGTACTACCGAACGATGAACATCAACCAGTAATTTACATACCTCATYACCACATCTGTCGGCCAACCAATACCACTACCAAACTCCGAGTAGTTTTTGATGGATCAAGTATTATGTATAATGGTCTGACACTGAATGRCCATCTATTCAAAGGACCCAAACTATAAAAGGATATTGTTAGTGTTCTAATTAACTTTCGGTTTTCTATGTATGTCTTCARTGCCGAMATAAAACAGATGTTCCGACAGATACTCATACATCCAACACATCGTCCATACCAGTGCATACTCTGRCGTGATCATCCAACTGACCCAGTAACATCATATCGTTTAAATACGGTTACATATGGCTTGGTAACGACACCGTATCAAGCAATTCGCACGCTGAGACAACTATCCGAGGATGAGGCAGCCGACTATCCCGTCGCGTCCAACGTATTGAAACGCGATTTTTATGTTGACGAAATGATGACCGGAATGGATTCAACTAATGAATTATTATGTCTACAGCGTGAGCTGAGTGGTTTGCTGGAACGTGGTGGGTTCAAGCTACGGAAATGGGCAAGTAACTGTCCAGCCATTCTAGAAAATGTACCGTTGGAACATCGCGTCACACAGCTCCCACTACATGATCAATCAGACACAGCCATCAAATTATTGGGTGTTTCGTTGACCTAACCTAACCTAACCTAACCACTAAAGACTCATTTTCTATACAAGTTCATACTATGGAAATAAGTGGATCTGTCACTAAACAACAGATATTATCAGATATCGCACACATTTATGACCCTTGCGATTGGCTCTCGCCCTTGATCATCGTAGCTAAGCTGCTGTTGCAACAACTGTGGAAGGAACAGGTTAGCTGGAACGACCAGGTCTCAAAGGCACTTGCTGCGGCTTGGCACTCACATCGTCCACTGTATGAGCATTTAGCATCTTTAGATATATTGCACTACATCAACACATCGAGGGATCCAATCATCGCATATGAAATACATGGCTTTTGTGACAGCTCTGAAAAAGCTTATGGTGCCGYTGTCTATGTTKTCGCCAAGTCAGATATTCTAAAATCAACCCTACTGGTGTCTAAGRCTAGAGTAGCACCACTGAAGAAGGTTTCCATTCCATGGTTGGAATTGTGCAGTGCTGTGCTTTTGACTCAACTCATACAAGCTCTTGTTCCATCACCAWATATCAAGGTTGAACGTATACATTTGTGGAGTGATTCGAWKGTAGCCCTTCACTGGATTGCGGGAGAATCTTATCGCTGGACTACGTTTGTGGCCAACAGGGTGACCCAAATTCAACAAATGACACCAACAGCCACCTGGCGACATGTAGCCTCTGGAGACAACCCAGCGAATGTGGCATGAACTGATAACCTGTGATMTGTGGTGGCAAGGACCTGTGATTGATGAAACTAGTTGGCCTCATTCAACATTACCAACTCTTGCATCCATACCTGAAGAACGAGACGAGACTACACAAGTGGCATTACCTACTCTATTAGTAAGTGATCTGCTGCTGCATCATTCTAATCTAGAACGATCTTTAAGGGTGACATCTTATGTGTTCCGTTTTATCAGAAACTGCCGTATACCTAAATTTMTTCAGAAGAAAGGGAGCCCACACGTCGGTGTTGCTGAACGTAAACACGCACTTTGTTTTTGGATAAAACATGTCCAACGCGTTGAATATCCTGCTGAATATGACTATCTACGCCGAATGGTCCCCATTAAGAAGTCCAGCCCGCTTAGT